GCGGGTCGTGATGGCTGCCCTGGGACGCCACAAGGGTCTCGGAAGACCCTGGAATTACTTTACCCGGAACGTCCTTCCCCGCGGGAGCCAATGGACGTTCAGACTGCGGACCTCTGAAAACCCGTATCCCTAGGGCCTGTGCCCCTCTTGAGCGCTGACCGCGTTTTTAGAGCGGAGCCTACATCTCCAGTGACTCAGCAATATTCAGGACATGTGTGGGTTGCGATGTGCACAAAAGAGAGATTCGGTTGGGGCCCTGGATTTGCTGCCTTTAAGAACGCAGGGAAATTGTTAAGGGAAGCAGTTGATTGCGGGAGGGTTTGCTCCCATCGCTTTCTCTTGCCCTGATTCTCCTTTAATGAAGTTGACTTTGGCCCTCCTGTCCTGGGGCTTGGGAGGAAAAGGTTCAGAAGCCAGTAGATTCTTTCTTGTATTCTCAGAATTAGGGAGGGGGAGGGGGAGGGCGAGGGCGAGGGCGAGGGCAAGGGCGCGCCTCCAGATAGCCCTGGCCCAGAAAACAAGGTCACGTTCTCTGCGCCACAGCCCGCTTGCCTCATCATTCTTGGCTCCAGGGGCTTGTGTGGGGACGGCCAGCCTTCCCCGGTATTGATTCTCATCGGATGGGACCTGGACGCAGGAAGGCAGGACTCTTCTTTTTTGGACTCTGGCTTAAGTAGTTAAAACTAGTGCAGGTAGTGAGAAGAACCCAGAAAAAAATATTAAGGTATGTTTCAGCATCTGGGCGTTTTCCCTTTTCCCATCCCCCGCCCACTTGCCTGGTTTTTCGGTAATGTAGGCTGCGCAGCCAAACTGGAAGGCAGAAGATGACTTTTGAATATGGTAGATACAAAAGAGCAACCGTTGAATTTGGGGGGTATAGGAACCGAGATTTTAAGTCTGCTCTTTATCTTCAGGCAGGGAATTGAGGTGAAGTGTCATATGTAACTTGAAGGTAAAAGAATTGCAGTTATCTAATGTCTTTCTTTGACCCGCAGGCATTCTTTGGAATTCTTTTCCAATTCTCACCTAACTTTCTTGGTCTTACAGCAACCGGAAGCAACCAAGGCCTTAGACCAGCATAGAAACCCCTTACACCTTTTTTCTATAAGGAAGAAAAGACAGTGCTCTTCCATTTTCCAGAAATTACACCCAAGAGGTTTTCGGCTAAAAGGGGTGATCCTTTCCCAGTAAAGGATCCTTATACAAATTATTTTCCTGGTTTCTGGACCTTGCATCTCTGCTTTAAAAGTTTCCCACAATTCTGGTGATACCAATCCTACTCTTAAGTAATAATATTAAGGAATGACAGCTGGCTTTTATTGGTAGCTTACTATGCACCTGGTGGTATTATAAATACTCTGTCTATAATCATTCACTGAATCCTCACATGGTTTAATCCCCATCCTACATATGAAGAATCTGAAACACAGGGCAATGAAATAACTTCCTAAAGGTTTCACATTTCTGTTCTGTCTGTTGGACTGTGAAACTCAGAGCCCTTAACTTCCATGCCATGTCGTTACTTGAGTTCTAATAGAATTCTGTTAACCAGAAATAATTGTGTTCTCTGTGCCTCACACTTTTAAATTTTGGAAATAGATAAACTGTTGCTGCCTTCAAGACTTCACAGGGTAGCGTGGTGCCAGAAAGGTACACCAGGAAGCAAAATGACTACCATTTATTCAGTACTTGCTAAGCACAAGGCTGTGTTCAAGTACCTTTACGTAAATCACAAATCCTGAAATGTACCTCTTAAATCTAGTTAAGTTTCCACATATTTCCTCAAAATTGAACCCTTCACATGTCAGTGATTTACATGCATTTACACAGAATATTTGTTTTCTCCATATTCTTTTCCTGCTTATAGATTGGTATTAAATGTTTTACTTCTATGATAATTTGTAAGCCATTAACACTTAGGATCTCTGTATTCCCCTTACGTTTTAACCAGTAATGAGCCTCCCAGCTGCTACCAAGGTGCTTTCTAGCTGTGACGCAGATTCCATGGTTTGGTCCTAGTTCTGGGTTTTCCTGGGAATTTACTGCACTTGGGCAGAAAACTTAATCTTTATGTGCTAAAGTGTCCTGTTTACACAGGTTTTAATAAGTGATTCCTCAAGCCCTTTCTAGCTTGACCATTGGTGTTACTAAAGCATTCACATACTCTGATTGCTCTCATAACCTGAACTTGGAGTACCGGTATCTCTTTAGACTATCTATCATCCAAAGGAACAGGTGTGCTGGTGCCTTGGGCAAAGAGGGGTTCTTGGAATTTTTAAATTGTCTTAACACATATGGTATATTGAAAATCTGCAAAAAAAACCAACAAATACACACACACACACAAAACGATTAGGAACAGATTGTCAATATTTTAAAATTCATAAACAGCCCTATTGAGTATTAGCCATATTTTACAGATGAGGAAAACAGACCCAAAGAGGCAAAGCATCCAGCCCAGGGTCCACCATAAGTGAGGGACAGCAGTGACATTCCTGGAAATCTACAAGTTTTCTGATGAACCAAGGTTTTAATTATTACCTGCCTTCTGGCCCTCTCCTAATCCCTTCCCTACCCTCCATTTATTGCAGTCTGCTTCATCACTCTCTTTTTCTACTGTTTTCCATTGTGGTTTTCATCTCTTACTGATAGGACTGCCAAGTCTCTGAGTTTCTGTAGGACACAATGCTAGGCTCGCTGTGTTTCCCTCTGATGTGCTGTCTCCTGTCCCTCCTCAGTGTCGAGCCTTTACTGGTCTCTCCCTAAAGCTCTTCTTACTTTTTCCTTTTAATTTCTGACTCACATTTCTCTATCCCAGTTTTTATTTTTTAATTTAAAATATGATCATGTCCCTCTGGTTTTCCTGGTGCAGTATTCTTTTCCTCTGAGAACACAAAACAAGATTTTCACTACTCTTAATCTATTCCTTTTAATTTAAAAACTTTACACTCTAAGTTAATCTTTATGTTAGTTCTTTATAATTTATGAAGCATTTTCATATAAAACCTTATATATTACATTCACATTATACCAATACTATGACTTTCTATAAGCTGTGTTAGAAAGTTCCTTTTTCTTATTCAACTACTGAAGCTCTAAGAGGTTGTTACCTGTTGAAGGACACACAGCCGCCAAAGATACTTGTCCAGTTTTTGTTTGTTTCTTTATTGTTTTTTTTTGTACTTCCCATATCTTCTATCTAAAATAGTTACATTTTTTAAACTAAAAATCTAAAACTTGTGGTTTTATAACAGAAAACTTCTATTTTGTAAGTTTAGCATATGAAAAATTTTTTTAATTTTTATATACCTTAATTTTTTCTTTTTGTACAAAAATAGATGATACAACTTGGAAGTATTATAGAAATATGTAACATAGACATTGAAAATCCCTTAAGATCCTGACATACTCAATATTGATCAATTGTACTGACATCGTATTATACAATGTCATTGTAAAAACTGCCTTAACACTTTTTTGTTTAATAGTGTCTTGAACTTTTTTTTTTTTGCAGTCATTCTTGGAAATTTAGACAAAAGTATGACATTTAAGCCACATTTTGTGTACCTTTAATAAATGGTATTTATAAGAACGAAAAATACAAGTAGGTAACCAGGACCATCTGAGAAAACCCAGTTTTGATGCTCTAATTAAATACCATAAGTTGTATATTCCATAGTATACTTTATGGGTAACTTGTAATTACTTAAAATCAAGGTTACTTTTTCCCTTTCATCATGTACTTTCTGGTCTCCTCCTATTGCAGTAATGAAACTATAACCTCACTAAGGGAACCTTTTCCCCATATATTTTGTGAAAGGTAGGGAAGACTAAGAAATGGAAAGTTGTATTGGGCCTACACAAACTCACTTCCCATCACAACTACAGGATGTGGAAGGAAGTGTACTAGGTTGAGTTCTGTCGTTTTCATCCCCACTCTTCCCCTCTCCTCTCAGGTGATCGTGGAGAAAGCTCCGAAAGCCAGGGTGCCTGATCTGGACAAGCGGAAGTACCTAGTGCCCTCTGACCTCACTGGTAATGCTCTTTCCACCCCCTGACCCTTCCTCCTTTAGCAAAGTGTTCTTGGTCCGTATTACACACATGAGATTGTGAGATTGAGAGGAAGTACAGAGTTGAAGCAAGTGAGTGGGATTCTCTAGATTTAGCTGATTCAAAAATTACACAGCAGTTCTATCACCATTTCCTCTAAGCATTTCCCATTGTCATGTCTTGTTTGATTTAGACACAGCACAAACCATTGAAGAAAAAGATCAGATGCCCATTCTTTAAACTACTTTTAAAATTTAGTTTTGTCATTGTGATAGCAGTTTGTTCAACAGGAAAACTAGCCTGGTGTCTGAGAGGATCACATCTTAGAGTTTCTTAAATAAATACTTTGTCCCCTTAAGCATATTTTTTTGTAATAAGTTTTGTAGATTCTGTTTGGAATTGATAAGGAATATATTCAATCTTCACTTTGATCCTTAATGGAATACCCACTGCATCTAGAAGACACTGGGAAGATTTTGTAGATACATTTGCTGCAGTGTTAATAGATTTGAATATTGGCCTTCTAGAAAATTTTCTGTATTCTCAGGAAAAGGTGAAGCGTTGAACCCCACTCATTGCCCCAACACTGATTTGAGTAACTGTGCTATGATTACCAGAGTTTAGTAGACCTCTTTTTATCACTAGTTTTTCTGAGTTTGGGAAGGTATTTCAAGTCAGGTTTAGACCATGATGAGCATGTTTTGGTCTGGATTTACATAGTATTCCCTCAAAGTAGTCCAAATAAAATACTGCAGGGCAGCATTCAGCTCTGGTCAGAGGGTTTACAAAGCTGGCACTGACTCTGAAGGGAACAGATGCAATAGAATTTTTTTCTGGAACTTACCTTTCTACTAACTCCTTGTTTTGTTCCTTCTTGCCTTTCTTTTCCATTTTCCTTCATCCAGTTGGCCAGTTCTACTTCTTAATCCGGAAGAGGATCCACCTGAGACCTGAGGACGCCTTATTTTTCTTTGTCAACAACACTATCCCTCCCACTAGTGCTACGATGGGCCAGCTGTATGAGGTAATGGTCCAGGTCACACAATACTGGATGCTGTCCGGTGCAGCCTGGCATTCTCTAGCTTTTGTTACAGTGGTGTTGATAACACACCTGAGAAGTGGGGCAGAAGGTGTTATTTATCAGGATCCTCTTACACATGGCAGTGTAAGGCTCTGGGAGATTAGGTGCCATTTGCCCTTAAGGGATTGAGCACTTTACTCGATTTAATCCTTTTCAAATCTCTTCTCAGTCTTTCCTGACTGTAATGTTGTAATGCTGGATGTCTATTGAAATAGCGGGAAGTAGTTCCTGATAGCAAAAATTACAAAGTGTCTCCCTATTTCAGTTCCTGTTATTCTTGCTGGTAACTTATAATTTGTAAGTACACTATGCATTCAGATACCAGGTCATTATTTTACTCCCATTTAGCGATAGATAGAAAAAGCAGATAACAGGAAAGCCTGCCCTTTCTAGCTCTGAAGCTAATCTCCTCAAAATGAAGGTTTCTCTTCAGCTTGCTCCCTCTCTGAACTTTGACGCTTTGGTTTAAGACAACCAACTAGGCTGAGGTGAGTGGATTGCCTGAGCCTGCGGGTTCGAGACCTGCCTGGGCAACTTGGTGAGACCTCATCTCTACAATAAAAATAAAAAATTAGCCGGGTGTGGTAGCGCATGCCTGTAATTCCAGCTATGGCTGAGGTGGAAGGATCGCCGGAACCCAGCAGGTCGAGGCTGCGGTGGCCGGGAGCGGCCACTGCACTCCAGTCTGGGTGACAGAGTGAGACTCCAACTCAAAAAAATAAAAAAATAAAATAAAATCTATAAAAAAAGACAACCAACTAGATCTAAGCAAGAGAAGCTTTGCTTCTTAGAACAAAAGTAAGGCTGAAACAAATTCCCCATTATCTGGGCACAGGAATTCAGATCAAATTTAAAAATAAGGCAGAGTCTTTACATTGATTCATGTGTCAACACGTAAACTGTGTCAGGAAGAATAAGTGATTTAGTTTAATTGGTAAAATGTCAAAATCTAATAGAAGGAAACTAAAGTAAAGGACTTCATGCTGTAAATATAATGTAAGACTGTAGCTATTATTTTTTAATAGTATTGCACATAAGAGTCTTCCTCCTCATTGTGCTGTTAGTGAATTACTAATAGCACCTAATCTTCTAAACTTCCAATAACCCGTAATCTTTTATTCCATCGTATATATCCCCTATTATATATTATGTTATATTCCCTTACTCCAGTTCACATGTGTTGTGGTATCTAAATTCCCTTTCTAGAGTGAGCTTTTTAAGAGCACAGACTGTGCCCAGTCATCTTTGTGTTCTTGATACTTGTGTGTATTAACTTCTCCATAAAGGTTTTTTTGTTTGTGAGTTTAGAGCTCAAAGTTTAATTCAAGGCTGGGCATGGTGGCTCACACCTGTAATCCCAGCACTTTGGGAGACAGAGTTGAGAGGATTGCCTGAGCCCACGGGTTCAAAGACCAGCCTGGGCAACTTGGTGAGACCAATAAATCAAAAAATTAACTGGGCATGGTGGTATGTGCCTGTGGTTCCAGCTTCTTGAAAGGCTGGGGCAGAAGGACTGCCTGAGCCCAGCAGATGGAGGCTACAGTGGTCATGTGCGTTCCACTGCACTCCTGCCTGGGTGACAGAGTGAGACTCCAACTCAAAAAAAAAAGGTTTACTTCAAGCCACTTCTGCTAACTCTTTGTTTCTCTTTTTACCGGGGGCTGATGTTCCTTTCCACACCTGCTTGACAAGGTTGTGTGACTCTTAGAATCCTTGAGATAATGAATGTGTTTTCTAAACTGTGATCTTATCTCTTCCCCCAGGACAACCATGAGGAAGACTATTTTCTGTATGTGGCCTACAGTGATGAGAGTGTCTATGGGAAGTGATTGGTGGAAGCCCAGCAGATGGGAGCACCTGGACTTGGGGGTAGGGGAGGGGTGTGTGTGGGACTTGGGGAAAGAGGGGGAGGCTCCCACCATGGAGGAGACAGAAGGTGAAGACATTGAAAACATTACACCGCACACCCCGTCATCACATTTTCACATGCTCAATCGATATTTTTTGCTGCTTCCTCGGCCCAGGGAGAAAGCATATCAGGACAGAGCTGTTGGATTGGCTTTGATAGAGGAAGGAGAATTGACATAATTTCACAGCATTCCTGAGAATGAATTTTTGTATGATTTCATAGAGGGCTAAGGAGGTGGGCAACTTGAGGCCAGAGATGATTGCAGTCCAACAGCAACTCCCTGCTCTTCCTTCTCTTTGGGCAGTGACTCTTGTTGACATTTGCGCAAGACAGGTAGAGAAAGGAGACAGGAATTGTTTTAGGACTTATGGTAGTGGACCATGCCTGGGGACCAAAAAGACTAATTGTCACTGAAGCATTGTGGCCCGGTCTCCCCTGTCTCACCCCTCCTCCCTCCCATCCCATTCAGTCTCACACACAAACGCCACAGTACCACCCCAGGGGTGGTAATAGACATGGACCCAGAAGTTTAGCTTTCTTATCTTTGGAAAATGGGGATCAGGCACTAAGGCAGGTATGATTTCAAAGATAGTTTTAATACCATTAAACTGGAATTGATGGAGTGTTGACCTGTTCTCTCTCGTGCCCCTTATCCCACACCTACCTTGAATTTAATGAGCCTCAGGCATTTCCAGTTGCAGACTGAAACCACTCTTCTGGCGTTTTCCATGTGTCTGGACAGAGATGTCTTAGGTAGGGAAGGGGCAGGTATGAGGTCAGGTAGATAATCCACACCTCCCACTCAGAATCTCACTCCTATGCTGCCTCCCTGCAGTCTCACACGCACAGGAATGCTACTTGATGGCCAGCCGCTTCCCTCTTTGGTTATCATCTGCTGCAGCTGCTAGGTAGAACAGTCTGGAGGGATACTTTTAGTAATTCATGGGGATTTTACTGATTTATTTTCACTTTTGGGGTTCTGTGGGGTGGGAGTGGGGAACAGGAATTACACTCAGACATGACATTTCAATTCATTTCTGCTAATGGAAAGGTCCTTGGGAGAAATCTGTGTGTCAGTTCTGTCAGCTGCAGGTTCTTGTATAATGAAGTCAATGCCATCAGGCCAAGGAAATAAAATAATTACTTACTTTAAAAATTCACTGAGTTCAGAAATGCTGCCTTTATTTAGTATGTGTTGGAATAGATGGCATGTGGACCCTCTGATCAGAAAACTTTGAGCAGGGGAGGCTGTCAGCCACAAACGCTCACATATGGTTAGACCTGTACATGTTCACTCAGCTCTTTACTGAGCAGAAGATGCTGTCCAAGGTGAATGTTATGGTGAGGCAGTGTGCCCGGTGCGTCGGTGGTGTGTGCATGATTTTCTCTTCTGCAGATAAGTGCTTTGTCACCACTTCATGTGTTTTTCAAAGCTGAAGGAGGAAGGATGCCTACATTAGAGTATAGGGGGTGGATTGGTGGGGGGTGGGGTGTTGTGCTAATTACAAATGCAGATGTCTGGTCCATGTCCCAGATTTAGCTGACTCAGAATCGCAACGTGGGTGTCTAATCTTTAACAAGCTCCTCATGATTCTGTTGCACATGAAGTCTGAAAGTCATTGCTCTGTGCACCAGGTTTTGCTGTAAGTCACACCTTATTCTCTCCACTGCAGCTCAGTCAGTATGGGGCCACCATCTCTGAAGGCAGCAAATAGTATCTGATCAAGACTCCTGGAGTCAGAACAAACTTGGAGTCTTCTTCTGACCATATGAAAGTCTTGTATTCAGTCTGTCAGGAACAAATATGTGGGTGGGCTGTAGGCGTGCAAATTATACCAGAGCATGAAAAACAGATTAGTAGAAACTCCTTTGATAAAGAGCCTTGAAACCCATCTCTAATCCTCTTGTTGCAGCCACATCCCTAGGCGGTGTCTATTTCTAGAGTTTTATGGAATATATCAGAGTCACCAAAAAGAAAGTAGGAAGCCAGACTTGTGACTGGTATCTTGGTGTGGGGGAGGCAATCTTGGGGATTAAGCCCTCAACCCGCAGGATCTGACACTATCTCTAGGCAGATATGTTGGAATTGAATTAGAGGATGGCCAGCTGCTATCCTTTATGTGTGGGGAAAACCCCCACACTTGCTCACAAAGGTCCTACTCTATGCTGATGATCATTGTGTGAGAGCAGAGGGGAAAACATGACTTGAGAGAGTTTTTCCAGAGAGTTTTTCCATTGAGGAACAAATTTTATTCTTGGATAGGACATTGTATTTCATTTTAGACCAGCTCTCTGGTTTCCAGATCCATCAAGTTTAAGTAACTTAGTCAAGTTCAAAGGCAAAACCAGGCCACATATTTTGGTAATCTGGTTTGGATTTGGTGCTTTTTCCTGAATATCTGTCTCTCAGTGCCACTTTTATGGCTCCTGCTAGTCGAGCTTTTAATGCTTGTTAGGCCTCTCAGGCCACTGTGAGGTTTGCTTTGAATTAAAAGTAATTTAGGAAGGGTTTTTCCATTAACCAGGACTCCATGTCTCATGTTAGATTAGTTGACTTACTCTGTTGCTTCTTAGGGGGCTTGAAATTTAAATGATGTATCAAGTGAGTTTATTCTCTCCCTTGGAGGCCAGAATGGCATCAGCATCAGAGATGGGTGAGTTCTTACCTCTTCCCTTATACTTTGTTGATAGATCTCAAATATATAAAGGGTAAGCAGGCATCTAGGTTTGCCAAGAAGATTCTGGATTTATGCTTATTGTCCTGACTGATTTATTTGCAGTTCCTTATTTCAATGTCACAAGTTCCCTAATAGACAAAATATTACATGGTCACCCTATTTATACTTAGTATACTAATTGAAGCTTCTTCCTTCCACCGAGAGACATACTGCCTATGTTATCCATATTTTGTGTGCCCCAGTATGACTCTTACCCAGTATGGGTGGAAACTGGAAAAAAACTCCACTTGTGAATGGCAGACTATTCTTTATTTCGTTTTTTTCCTCCAGTGTTCAGTGGTTTTCTTCCTTCAAACATTGTGCACCTCTTTAAAAACAGTTTATAGATTATATTGTGCAATTGGAGGTTATGATTGCAAAAGACCAAAACAAATGATGGTTAACTAAAGTACAGTGGTAACCAGGCAAATAAGTTCATAGCCATATGCACTACCAGGCATCACTATTTAATGTGAGTAGTGCTCCCCAGAATGGTGTGGTATATGTGGTTTCCTAGGCCCTGCAGTGGCCTTCTGGACACAATATTGTTAGTTATGGTTGCCTTGGTAATGTTAAATGTGTTAAACTTAGAATTCTACTTTGTATTTGTGTTGTTGCCCTCAGATATACAAATTTTTATACAAAACTTGTAACTATTTCTAGCCGTAGTTTCTTCTGGATATTTTTACTTTGATGGATTAAAGTGAGCTCCATTTATTTAACTTTATTTTTAGCTACATAAAACCACCAAATATTTTCAGAAACAGATCTATTTTGCCCTTGAGTAGCTCTGAGTTCAGGTTGTCTCCTCAATGCAGCCCTAAGTAATTGAGTATTTCCCTTTTGAAGCATTCCCACTATCCAGCTGCCCACCCCACCCCTTTGTTTACCTGGATATCATTACAGTGCAGGATCTGTAGTTTGGTCAGCTCCAGCGTGTAGCATATTATCCTGTGGATGACACATGGCTACAGTGCTTGTTTTTCTCAGCTATTTTGGTAAAGTTCCCCTTCAGTAAAACCAACCCACAAGCTGGGCATAGTGCCTCACACCTATAATCCTAGCACTTTGGAAGACCGAGGTGAAAGGACTGTCTGAGCCCACAGGTTTAAGATCAGCCTGGGCAACTTGGTGAGACCTCTCACCTCTACAAAAAATCAAAATATTAGCCAGGCATGGTGACGCATGCCTGTAGTTCCAGCTGCTTGGAAGGCTGAGGTGGAAAGATGGCCTGAACCCAGCAGGTCAAGGTTGCGGTGGCTAGGAGTATGCCACTGCACTCCAGCCCGAGTGACAGAGTGAGAGTCTGACTCAAAAAAAACCAAACAACAACAACAACAACAAAACTCCCACAAATTTATTAGAGTTTCTGTCCCCAAAGCTGTGAGACAGATAATGTTTTAGGGCAGTGCCTTATTTTATTTTCCTTTTTTTTTTTACAGTTATGGACACTTTGTAAATACAATATACATGGCCAGATTATTTTCAAAGTTTGAAATAACAGGAAGTGATCACCTTTAGAAGTAGTCAGATGACACATTTCACCATGCCATTGTGCAGGTGGCATGTTTTCAACAGTAACAAAAGACTTAAGTCATTCTCCTGGTGTATATTCAGCAGTGTGGGGCCGTCTATTTCGACAGTTCTATTTTCAACACAGCAGAGTATTAGGATCCATATGACTTCTATTTAGAGATATTTAGCTCCTAAAACTTGTATAAAGTAAGCCTGAACTTTTAGGTGAAAAAACACATTTTCTATTTTTACGCTTCTGGTAGGCTCACAATTGCCTCACATCATTCAGTAAGAGAATGATGATTACATACTGCTTGACTTAAGCAATCTGCACATGGTATTCAAAGAATAAAAGTAGCAATAAGTCATCTTTTATGTGCTAACATTGGCCCATTTCCACCCTCCTTTAAGTCTTAGTTCAGGTGTCATGTCGAGGAGGTCCCCATTTTTATCTCTTCAATATTCCAACAATTCCCACCACTCCCCACTCTCCTAGTCATTCTTACCTTGCTCTTTGTCTCTCTGCTCAGCAAAAATCACTTAACATAATTTTCTTGTTTGTTGTGTCTTCTCTCTAGGTCATAAGGTCTATGAAGGCAGAAACTTTTTGTTCACGGATTTATAAAAATTGATCAGAACAGTAACTGACATATGACTGGTGCTCAAAAATAATGAAATAGTTGTTTCTGATGGGACTGAAGCACTAGGTAATTCAGGTGAGAACTAAATTATCCAGGAAAAGCACATGTTACAAAAAGGCCACTTAAGAAACTTTGGGAACCCCTTTGGAGTTTACTAGAAAGATCTGGAAGCAGGAACACTGCTGAAATCACAGTTCTGTCACTTGACTGGATCTGTAACAAAGGCCAATTTATCATCCGTACAAATGAATTTCTGAGCTCCCTTACTATAAAATAGATACAATAATTATGTCATAGGTTGTTACAAATATTAGCTAAATTATGTGCAAATTATTAAGCAGCATTCTTGCAAATTAAGAATAGATTTCATTTAAAGCTAAAACGGCAATGACTTAGGGTAGCTGGCAGAAATCTTCTAGGTGGTTTTCATTCTTTTATTCATTGACAATTACACATGAAAGATATAGCATTGGTCAGGGAAAATGAAACCATATATTGAACTGGACATCTCAAAAGATGGCTGAGACTTGACGTGAGCAAAGCTGTGAGGGCTCATTTCCTGTCTGTTAGACTCTCCTTTGGAACTGATTTGCTTGATAGCAATAGCTGCTTTTTATCATTAAAGATACTATAGATCTCCTCCACAGCAGCAGGTAAAACCTAGATGGAGCATGAAGACAGAACATTTTTTTCAGTCGTATCATGCTGGAATTCAAATCATTTTAAACTTACTTTGATACTTTTGACTAAATAATTATAAAGTGTCTAAACATCATGCTGTACACACATTAACAAATATAATGAGTTCCCATCCATTCACGTTTATACCACTCAGAGCAGAATGAACTGCATATATCTCTGCCCTCCAAAGAAGGTTTCCTCAGGTCATGAGTCCTCTGCAGTCCAGAGCTCAGCTGAAGCACTTTCTCCTGAGTATAGTCCAATGCTGGGGAACAGCTTCTTATGGAATGGCAAGTCATGTGTCTTTTTTTTGTTTGCCGTCTCCAGCAAACTTTTTAATTCCTAAATGATAAATCTCTCAGAACCCACACTTTTTAAATGCCCATGAGTAAGCAAAAAGAGGAATTAGAGGAGAGAGGTAGAGAAAGAGAACAAACCCTTGTTGGCCAGTTATTTTATATAAATCTCTGTACTAGATAAATCATCTTTGAAAATAAACTGAGTGAATATGTTGATTCAATTTGATTGCACTAGGAGGGAGAAGGGTTAATTTCCCCAAGATTACATAGCTGCTAATGTTGAGCTATGCAGCTAGATTCAAACTCA